ATAACAAAGTTTATAGCACGATCCAAGACAAGTTTTGTTCAGAGCATATATACGAAAATTATCGGAGAAAACGATTGTTATATTGATTTATTATTATTATTATTATTATATTGATTTATTATTGTACATATAATTGATTTAAAATGCTCAATTCTAAATGCCTATAATCTATCCTTTATAATACATTTTAATGTAAAGATATGTATGATATAGCCATCGTATATAATACATAAAATATAATAGCCATTGTTTCTTCAATAAAAGAGTGGATTTGATCCGATATATTGTTCATCACAATCGTCGAAGTTTTCGCATAAGCAGTCAAGGGTCATCGTTTTAAGTACGGTACCTTTACCAAAAAGTATCGATAAAAAACAAAAGTTACACCGTCGTAATTCTTTTGTCCCTTTGAGAAAAAAATCTGCGTAAAAAGAGACAAAGAGAAAGAGAGAGAGAAAGGGAGTGTGTGTAGGAGTAAGGATTTATCTCAAATTCGACGTGAGTTCGAAGCGAAACGAGTCCCTTTTATCGGCGGATATTCTCATCTCTTTCTCCCGCGGACTTTACGACGCTCTCTGGTTCTCTATTTCGGCTTTTATCGGTCGCCCTTTCGCGCGCGTCTCCTTCCCGCGTATACATCTGTTCCGGGGACAAACAGTAAAAAAGAAAGAGCCGAATTTATTTATAAGCATTACCTTCGAGCGGTACGACAAAGTGGAGTCGTTTTGCCAACCGAAAACTGTAAAACGCCTCTTATCCGCTCGACCACGCTCGTATTTCAATTACGCGGATTTGTATGCCGCGTCGTCGTTCCACTCGAATAAGGAAATGCTTTAGCTGATGTTCATGTCTGGGATTTTGGGGGAAAACGCGGGAATCCTCGATGGCCATTGTCGGTGGAATTATTCGAAGAGCGATATTGGAAGCAAATGTCGGATAGCATAACGTTAGAATATTTACCGCTCCATACGTATTTCCGGCGTAACGTAAGGAATTATTATATTCTTAATTGCAAATTTGCTTATAAAATATTTTATGTGTGATTATTATACGCCAAATATGATAATTAAAGACAGTTAATAGTTTAACTTTTAGCTGCAATTTCAATAGTACAAAGCTAAATTTTTTTCATGCCTCTGTTGATTATTAAATCGGAATATACCTGTTAGTATTCTTAGCGCAAAATTTATTTTTGTACTTTCAATTAATTAGATATATATCATATTTCTGACAAAGGTTTATAATAGACGAAAATTCAACTACAGACATGTTTCCCGAGTACTTCCAATTTTATTTTCAACATTTTAATGTATGATTGTCCGATATAATCTGGATTAAACAAATGTAGCTTAGTGACTTACTGTCCTTTTTTAGCATTTTTTATGATATACGCCGAAGGAGAAAAGTTTAATTAACTTAATTGAACTTAGCTCTAAGCGACGTTGGTGCAGGCGGCCCTAAATGGATTATATCCAGAATTTGGGGCAGTTTAAATCGTATGCGGAAGGTTCCCACGAGGCGACGGCCAACTCCAGAAACCGACCGGGGTTGACAATATGCGAGTGAAATTTCGTATCAACGTTAAATCCATACGGAAATACACTCGGACTACTACGTGTGCCTTGTAGAATGCCCGACATAATTACACAGTCGGCGTTGCATAGCGGCATTTAACTGGTCGTTCGTAATTGTTGTGTTTCTAACTCATGAAAATGAAAAACAATCAGAAATGAAGCATATACATAGACGTTAATTACCTGACAATACGCCCTGAAATGAATCACGCGTCGACGGCGGGTACACAGTCTGAACGCGGGTCGATTAAACGTGACATCCCGAAAGTTAAATTGCGTTTACTTAATGGTAATCCACGTCTAAATGCGCTTACGTGTTACGCTACTCCGAGCGCAACCTGCGAAGCGCGTATCTACTTCACCTTGGTTTAATGTTAACTCTCAACTTAGGTGCGAAATAGAGTAAGATTCGCGTTCCTAGGAATATAAATCAATGATTTATGTGTATAGCACATTTATCTAATATTACATATACATAATAATTTATGTTTCTTTGTTCAATTCTGGCTTAGTTTGTTTCATTTTATCGCAAAGATAAAACACTTTTTAGTAGAGTCTAGTTTTAGTAAACTATCTTAAGTAAAATGTTTAGACAAATATATTATTCTTCTTGCTTTAATTAATTCTTGCTAAAAAAAGAGTAACTTGTTAATACTGCTCGTTGTAGAATGTATCGTACTACATATTCCGTTATAAACAATAAAAAAGAAAAGAGTTTTTTGTATCTTTTTTATTGTCGTTGTTATTAATCACGAGAGCTTATAATTCGATTTTAGTATTCTTAATTGAGTTTTTCTACTGTTGTTCTCCTTTCTTCTGAAATAAAATTATAGATAAAGCTATAACTTTGAAAGAAAGAAAAAAAACTATTATGAATCACTATCCAAAATTAATTTTTTATAATATAAATGAATTTTATAAATATGTATATACGTGAAAAAAAAACATGAATTATAGTTTAACTAAAAATTTCCTAAAAATTACAATTTAGTAATATAAAACAAATATAGAATAATAAATATCTGAATATCAATTTAAAAATGTAAATGAGCTTACAGTCAAAATATTTAAATTGTTCTAAAGATACGTATTTCTTAACTTATAATCTTCAGTATGAAATTAAAAATTCTAGCGAATCGTGGGCGAATACGTAAAATAGTGAAAGAAAATGGTATCAAATATGATGCTTAAACAACCATTCATTAAAAGATTATACGAATATAGCTATTGTGCTGTAAAGAATTAATCGAGCGTACAAATGTAAGTTTTGCGTTAAGAATATTAAGTACATTGATTTCCATTGAATTTAATAATCAAAGAGAGACGGAGATTGAATTCTGAAGCGTGAGACGTGACTAATTGTGATATCATAAATGTCGGTACAAGTGAGTATTCAAATTATAGTGAGGGAATCGTACGGGCAAACGCGACGTAAAGCATCTGTTTGAAGCTGTTATTTCGTGTCTCAATTACATTGCAACTAACCCATTTTGTGAGGCAATGGCTCGGAATAATTTCCCCAACAAAATTGTCGCACGGCATTCTCCTCCGCAGGTTCTCGGGGGATTCGACAACGAATGTCTTCTTGTTCCGTGTCGATCCGACGAAACAGTGTCGATCCGAATTCTCATTACATCCTACATAGATACGTCCATAGTTGTATCACGTTGACTCCTTTGTATAATCTACTACAATTGGCTTTATACGAGATGGCTACAGTGTCGTTTAATATTGAATTTTCAAGAAAAATAAAAAAACGGCTTTAAAAAATATATAATTTGATCATTTGATTATTTCATAGTATTCACTAGTATATTTAAAAATTTTATCTCTCATTTAGTGTCTGTATAGACAAAATAAGAGAAAGTGTAGAAACAGAAAATCCGATAAATAGAAAAAAATAACGTGGCTAATTGCCAAACACACTCTTACGACCTGTTGTCACACAGCCGGCGGACTTTATTGCTCGGATTACTAGTGCACACTTGTCTGGATAATAGGTAG